TGTGGCATCCAGGGTCCAAGACTGCCATTTTTACAGGAGAACTGCTCATCCCAGCTGCTACATTGTAACTTTGTATGTGCAGCTCTTTCCTGTGACTCGTGCAAAAAAATTCTAGGTTCTCTGTAACTCTGTGAAAGAAGCTACCTTGCAAATAGGTGCAAGACAGCACAAGTGGGCCATTTCTGAAAGAAGTAGAGGCATGGTACTTTTATCCTGGGGAGTCAGTTGAGTCTGAAAGACAATTGGAATAGCCAGGCTAAGGTCAGAAAAGCTTGGGGCTACCACCTGTGTGTACTTAGGGTCAGCATGGAATACCGTATACCTTGATGTGGCAGCTTCCAGCCTAAGTTAGGTTTCTGGGAGAGCTGAGGTAGAAATGGAGAAATCTAAGAAGTGGCAGCCATCCAGTAGACGAGAAAGGAGGGAATCAATGTGGTCTGACGTCGCTGGTCTGTGAGGCAGGGCTGCGATTATCAGGTCGGCCTCATGCACTGCTTTCATGGCGTGTTGCTGCTCCTGCTCTTTCTTTGGCTTCTTTCTATCATGAAGAAGTGTCTTGATTTACTTGTCTTGATGTCTTGATGCCTGGTTCCGATGAAAGGAGAAAGCATTCTGTCTCCCTCTTGCTCTCATGAATGCAGAGGCCAGGACATATTTCAGATATGTTCTTCCCCGGTTTCAAAGTCTCCACCAGTACCAGGACAGTTAGATGTGTTACTGACTTTTGTGTTGATATTTCAGGCAGTATTTTATACTTAAGATGCAAAAATTTTAAATACATAAACATATAACACACAGGGAAGTTTAGCAGAGACTTAGTTTCCAGCTTTTTTGAGTCTAGAGCTAAAAATACTGTATTTTAATTGTTTTAAGCAAAAATTGCCTTTCCCATCAGATTATTTATTTGACAGTCGCATGTGGATCAGCAGCATCACTGTTCCGTAGTATGATTTGTAAGAGAAATCATAATCGTTATGTTAACACTGTGTGAAGTAAATGAAGTTTGGAAGGTATGTGTAGGGGTGAGTTGTTCACTTGCTGTTATTGAAAAAAAAAATTGTCAAATTAATGATGGCTGCATTTGGCTTTGTAATGACATCTCCAAGGGACTGTTGCTGTTAACTAGATGACAAAAATGAGACGGGGGGGAGGGGATGGAGAGAATAGAGTAAGGCCATAACTGAGTAATCAGGAAATGAGTATCCAGTAAGGTTAAACAGTATGCAAATGATATTTCTTTCTGGCTTTGCTAAATTCTTCTTTTAATACAGCAATTGATTGTAACTAACTAGGTTGAATTTCTGTGTGTTTGAGTTGAGTATTTCTAGGATAGTAGTAAATAAAAACCTACAGAGACTTGATTCCCAAATCTCAGGAATTCGTGATACTCTCTGTGGTGAAGTCTTGGCATGTCTTGCCCTGGTGCAGCCGAGAACAGCAACAATATTCTGTATGAAGTTTCCTTCATGTTTTAATAGAGATTCATCGTTTTTTAAAATCTGACAACAGGGAGGATTTTCCTTTTTTTTTTTTTTTTAACTCTTTTCTGAAACTTGTTACTAACACAGACAGATGCATTACTCCAGATACTAAAATGGCTTAAAAGTTTCCTGCCTTTAATCTTGGGGAGAATAAGTTATCTCATGGGAAACTAATCTACTTCTGGCATGATTGTTGGCAGGTAAGCAGGTGCTAGGAGGTGACTAAATTGTTTATGCCAAGAATCAGACTTCTGATGTATGGTAGTTTGCAGACAGCTGATTTACAGGTGCGCTTATATATATACATATATATATATAACCAATACATAAAATTGGACTTCTGTAGCTGATAAAGAGTATCAATCAACTGTAATCAATCTTGCCTTCATCCTGCCTGTGACAGGTTTCAGACTTTGCTAATGCATGCCATGCCGTTTATTTCAACTGGCAATGTAATCATCAAAGTTGTGGCATCTCCAAGTGTTTAAATAGAAATGTACATTTTTGTGTACAGAGGACTTTGTAATATATAATTTTGTTTGCAATTGAAAAGTTGTCTTCTTGTTCTCACTATTAACACCCTTCCTATACTTTAATTCTCAGAAATGTCAGGGTACAATTTACTGTTTAATAAGGAAAATGAGAGGAAACCCATAGTACTACATAGATTATTTTGCTTACTGGCCCAATGCAACAATATGTATAATGTTTCACATGATGAGAATAAATAAATAGTCTTCAGCTTCATATAGTCAGCCAAGTTTATCATGTTCATAATTCTTTCTTCTACACTTCATGCCCTTTACTTGGCTAACTCCCCAAGTGCTCTGTATTCATTTTTTGGACCGCGTGGGTTACAATCTGTGTGTCTTGCTTAAGTAAGCAGGCAATCCGGCTTCCTTCTTACATGGGTTTTCTGAAGACTTGTGTTCAATAACACACAGCCAGGCTTTGGATCAGATGATGACAGGAGTAAAAAAGAGAGAGAACAGCTTTTGACATGGGAAGCAGAGCCATGAGGCACTGAATTGATAGGGGATGCTAGGGGGAGAGGTAGGTTAATTTGCTTAAAGGCTCAATAAGGTGAGGCATTTCCCATTTTGAAAAGGAGTAACTCATTCCCATTAAACTGATAAACTGTTGGGGTTTTTGTTTCATTTCTCCTTTTGCACAGGAGGTCTTAGGGTGATTTGTGTATGTATGTCCACATATTTATTGAAGATAATCATTGCTCTTGTCACTTCAATAGATGAGGCTGAAATGGTATAAAATGGGACTACAATGCAAATGAGACTTTCAAGTAGTCAGAAGTTACACAGGAGTGAAGGTTTTATTCTGTTACGGAAAGCACTGTGCTTAATGCTTTATGTTTACTGTGCTGCCATTAAGTTAAACTTGCAGAGATACCTTTGTTTTGTTTTGCCAAAGGATGGCTTTATTTGGCTTCTTTGGGAATATTCAGAAGTAGAGATGCTGGACTGGAGTTTGCAGCTCTGAATTCTTTTCCTTAGCTTTAGTTCCCACAAAGCTCACCATACAAACTCCTGATGCCTGTCTTCTAGGAAGGGCCATAAATGTATTTCTCCATATTTCTTAGGGATTATAGATAGTTGCTAGCTGTCTGTAACATTCTTTAAAAATCATCTAGAGTTGGTGTTTGTTCGTTAATGCAGTAAAGTAATGCCAAGAAGAATTACACTCCTCACTTCCCTTGACGAACAGGCACTAATACAACATGTGCCCTTCCAGTGCCTGCTGCATGATCCAAGTGGAGCATTGGGGAGAGCTAATATGAAATATGGATTGCAGTATCAACCTACTGAGACCATGACTTTTCTTGTGGAAAATGAAATTTTGCAGATACCTGGCTTTATTTCCAGTGGCATGGTTCCATACCCAGAATGATTGTGTTGCTGGGATGCTCCTTAGGTAGGCAGCTGAACCTGCTGTTCATTAGAAGCAGCTGGAGTCTGTTAGCATGCTCACCTACCTGCCAGCAACAACTAGTAACATTTGAAGGTGATTCTCTGGTTTGACTCTCTGTGCCTCTTTTGTAAAGCTAAGAATCTGAATAGTTATTCAGTTAACATTTGTGCACCTCTTACACTAGGTTAGTTCTGTAGCTAACACTCACCAGCTTGTGCTGTAGATCTCTCTTCCCTTCTTAGTGGTAGAATCTTGAGAAACTAAATTTTTTTTTGATGTGAAACAGTTTCTTTTAGGTTTTGAAGCATACTCCAGTTTGATCTTAAAGAAGCCATGAGCCTGGATACACTGGTGCTGGGAGAGATGATCTTCCTATTTTTCTATCAGTTCTTCTCATGTATTACAGTCTCAAATACAAGCCTTTGAAATTTTCTCCAAATAATTCTTATACCACCAAAAAAAAAAAAAAAAAGAAAGAGGACTTTCAAGGAGAAACATTTTCTTCTTAAGAACATAATAGGCTGACTTCTTTGACAAATCCTTGCTAGACATTTGTTGTTGGAACATATTTTGTGGCTTTTAGGTGAAATATATAACACTAAAACTTCAGACATGCATTACTGCTTCTATATTTAGAAGAAAAGTACCAGCCCATGTTGTTAAGCAGTTTCGGCTTGTCTCTGTAAGGAACCAACACAATTGGATTTTGAGCATAGTGGTCATTTTAATGAATTACTTCTTAAATGCTGTGGAATACAGTTACTCAATTAATGTTCTAAAAAGTTAGAAGAATTCTCTGGCTTTGAGAAAAAACTGCTTATTTATAAAATCCTTTGTTTTTTTCAAGTAAGATAATATAGCAGTTAAAAACTATTCTAACTATTAAAAGCGAAGAGCTAGGTGAGATCTAACTTACCACGTGTGAATACTTCTGCAGAACTACCTGCCTGTGTTCTCTGTATCATTACGGGGAAAGATGAGTTCCTGGGAAAACTCCCAGGAGTTCCAGTAGAACTCTGCTGTTCTCCTGAATTAAACATGAAGACTTTTTTTGTATTTATAAGCATGCTGCAAAATTTTATGAAACTACAGAGCTTTAATTTAATTTCATTTATGGATTAAATAATTTTATAAGTGTTTCAGTCTAAAAATATGTGCTTCCAGTTGTCTTATGTTAAGCTAAGTTGTTTAGCAACATATCAAAACAATTCCATGAAAAGATTACTATATTTTTTTATTAATCCCATAGGGAGCTTTTGCAAATGTTTTTGTATTATAAATGATTGCAGTGAGGCATTAAAGCACATGCAGAGAACAGAGTTCCCCCCGTGCATCCTTCTTGCCCTTCAAGTTATGTTTTAATAGCAACCTGATAGCATGGTTTACAGAACTGTGTGTGCTTGGTTTAGGGTGCTGTTACAGCCATTTAGTACCAATCCCTGATGAAGCACTTCACGTAGTCTTGCTTTTCCAGAAAGTGGTTAAATCTGATTTCTTATGTTCTGCACAGTCCATGCTTTTCTGTCTGTTAAAACTGGCTGTAGGAGAGTTGTAGGAAAGTGATGTTGAAGCCACTGTAATACTTTCTTTCAGGAATTACGGCAGAAGTCATAGTGGTAGCCTCTTTTGATGAACTGCACAAAAGAGCTCAGGAGGCCAAGGGGAAGATTGTTGTCTACAACGAACCTTTCATCAGTTATGGCGAAACTGTGCGATACAGATCGCGGGGAGCAGTGGAAGCTGCTAAAGTTGGAGCAGTGGCATCCCTCATAAGATCCATTGCTTCTTTTTCGATTCATAGGTAAGCATTTTTCTCTTTTCTCCCTCTGACTCACATTTCAGCCTTCAGTTCACATGTCATTTCTGGGCAGGCATTTTTGTTCTCTATGACTTAAAAGTTGCCGGTTATGAGTGGGTGTTGAGTTTTGAAACTATTGGCTGCACAATACTTCTTTTCCCCTGTGCTTTGTCATTCTTTCAAAATGCTTTCATTTTTTGTTACTGATGCAAATTTTGTATGCTATTTGTTTTAAATAACTTCCTGCATTCTCAAGGCTACCATAAATATTCTGAGATCAACCACAGTTGTCTTTGGTGACAACATGTACCAGACTGTCAGTGATGGTATGAACTGGTCAATTCTGTATGTTTGACTAGAATGTAAGTGTACAGTTTTTATTGTATTTGTCATTTTTCTAGCATGAGACTGACTTGTACTAGATGAAGGGGTAGTCTGCTCTGAACATAATTATTTTGAACACTTTAGCAGTAAGATTTGTACTTAAAAGTGTCTAAAAGCACTCTGCTTTTTGAGTGAGGGAGATTGATATGATTTCTTAAAAATTAAATGTTCTTAGGATGTCTCAGAATGTTACTTATTCTATATAGTTTTATATTTCTGAAATGAGCATTTTAAGTTTTCTGTTAGGTGTTGTATTTCGTAATGTCCTCTTTTTGGACAATGTATGTTCTGAGCAGTACAGACAGTTTATTCCTCTCCCTGGTTACCCAGTGACTCTACCCACAGCGGAGCCATTGGTGGTAGCTAATCTGACCCTGACTGTGTTCCACTTCATAAACTGTTTAGATAATGTCATGGTTTCTTTTTGATCTGTGTGCCTAAATTTCCTTTCTACAGACGTCCAGACTGGGAATTGGGAGGGGGTGATATGACTTTGAGTCTTGCTTGAGGCTGGGACTGGGAAGTGGCTGGGACAGGCACTTGAAAGCATGCTTGATTCCACCATTTCAGACAAAACATAAGTGGTCGTGGTCATATCTCAGCAGTATGAAAAGTGTGCAAGCATCACCATTTGTGATGCTTCAAAGTTTGAGAAATGCAGTAATGCCAACTAACTGTGTTGGATCATGTGCAGGGGACAGCTCTGCTGCTGGTGTTGCTGCTTGACAGTATTTTTATATGTTCCGTATTCCCCTAAAGAATCCAATATTACCTGTTTAAAATGCATTCTCAAAAGTAAAGTACTTTGAATTCAGATAGTATCCAAACTATACCAGTGTATTTCTTGATATCCAACAAATGTAACAATGTTTGCAATATACTTTCTAATAAATTTAATAATGAACAGAGTAGAATATGTTTCAAAAACAATTTTATGACAAATGATATGTTTTCAAAATAGTCATGTTTGATATCATCAGAGAATATTGGCATCTATAATCTCTTGATTATGTGAAAACAAGAAGATGATCTGAACAGTAGTCTGTCCAGTCCTTAGTTCTGGTGGCCTGTGGAGGTGTTCATTTGAAGGCAACTCTTTGTATCTACTGTTTGCCAGACTGTTTATGGAAGTGCATTTTAACATGGAATGGAAAATTTAGAGATGAGAAACAGAGGTGAAGACAGAGAGTAGTAAAGTCTGTTTATTAGTTTTGGGTACTGGCATTACAGAAATTTCAGAATTGAAAGAATAAAGAAGAGAAACGGATGCCAAATGCATGTTTGTTTACAAGTGTTGAGTCCTTAATTGAGGCTGGGAGCTGAGATGTCATTCCCAAGAGCAATTTCAAATTTAGATGCTGCCAGGAAGCCTTTTTTCATGAAATGTACTTTCTCTCCTTTCTTCATTTACCTTCACTTAGGGTTTTTTTTGGGTGAGGGAAGGGACTGGTTAATCTAATTTTTCCCATATTAAGGGAGATATTCAGGTCCAGTCCATCACTTCTGCCAATCCGTTATGCCTAGATCTCTTTGTCTGGTTTCTAACAGAAAATAAGTATTGCTGTAGGCAGGATGGATTTTCTTATCTCCATGTCTTCTCCTATGTTTTCTGTTAATCACCAGCTGTGTGTCTCCTTGTCTGTCCTACCTATGTGCTGTGCTGGATGGACTCTGCGATGGATGTGGTGCTTCTCATCAATCAGTGTCTGGGGCACTGTTTGTTCAAGTCGCTTGCCTTTTTGATTGATTGATGGGAAATACTGCATTGCTGCAGGCGTAGTGTGTTGGAAGGGTGAGAGATGAAAGGTAAAAAGCCAATAAAAGACTTCTAAGTGTTGTGACAAAAGTCTTGCAGTCTTGATATTTGTGTACTGCTGGTTTGTTGACCAGAACCTTTACTACTTGGGCATGTATGTTCACCTGTGCACCTACAATATGAATAGGTGCTAATGGGATTGTGGCAGTTCTCCAAAACATCCTGGAAACATCTTAGAAGAAGTCATCCTCCTTCTGATACTGCATTGTCCCACTTTCTTCAGGTGAATGAAGGGTGGAACGTCGCAATTTTTCCTAAATTATATCAGCTTAGGTGTGGTTGTGGGTTTATTTTTTATTTTTTATTTGGTTCGTGTTTTGTTTTGTGTTTTAAGATTTCAACCCCTTTTGGACAGGAGATTGCTTATTGTTATTTGCTTGCTCTATTTGCAATGAATTAAACTGGCTGGAATAGTGAAAGCTACTTTGTGGTGTGATCTCTAGGTGATCTTGCAATGCGAATAATATTGATAGGTTAAAACTAGGTACTTTCTAGTAGATTTACATTTTAGGCTTATTAAGGCTAATTATTAAAGCTTACTGACAAGACAGGATTGGTAAAATCATAATGTGAATTAAATCAGCATTCTCTTACTGGCAGCTTGGTGGCTGTTTCTTGTTCCAGAGATGAGAAGTGGCTGCTCCGTCGTTAAGGGTAAGAAGTGTGAAGGGAACCTTTCAGCAGGTATTATGTGGGCAGCTTATTTTTCTTTAAGGATTCATAGTATAGCTATGGGGTGAATGAAACTGTGTGGGGGCCCAGGCATCCCAACTCTAAATGTGCAGAAATCTCATTGCTATGCTTATAATTAGGGCTCATGCCAACTCATGAGTGACAGTTAAGGACTTAAAGGATTTGTCGCTGAGTTTCAAGGAGTGGATTCACTTATTTAGGACATAAATGGTAAGTGAATAGGAAATGAAATCAGCAACAGAATCTCCCTTGGCCTATGAAGACACAATAGTAGTTACATGGTTGGTATTGCCATGTGCGTGATGTGTCTTGTGGCATTGTCCCCATGTTGTGTTAGAATCCAATAATTCTCTTGCTACTTTATAAGTATCATGTAAGAGTGAGTTTTGTTACTTAGGAGAAAGCCCCTGTAACAGGTAGGTAATTTTCCCTGCCCTCCATCCGAATGGTGTGTTTATGGCAGCCTTTTCCCCAGTAACAATTTCCTGAAGCACTGGCAATTTGGTGGTGAAAACATTTAAACAAGGATGTTAGGAGCTAGGAGTAACAGAACTATTTTTAACGAACCTTCTCAAATAATATGTCTTATTGTAATCAGTCAACAGTATCCGTAGTATTTGGCTTTTTGGAGAAATCCAGATGTTGACTTTTTTTGCTTTAATAGCTTGACTGTACTGTGATTAATGGTTTGTACAAGTTACAGTAATACATGTTTACTGTTGTGTACAATAAACTGATATTTCCCAGTTTGTAGTGGATGTTTTTACAGCAAAAATACGCAATTTATAAGGCATGCTTAAAAATGTGGTTGAAATAAGCTACCATAAGTCTGTTTTTTTGCTTCCAGTTTTATGACTTTAGAACATTTCATAGATAAAAGGTATCCTTTGGCTATTGAAATGGTCCAGCATTTATCCTGTGGTAATGTACTCTTATGAATCTAAAGCTCTAAGTAAATCCTTCTGTTCCTCAAGAACCACAGCTTAGATAAAGCCTTAACAGTGTGTCTCGTAATAATAACCCCTTTAAGGGCTCTAGAAAGAAGCAAAATTGAGTGTTTTTCAAGAAATCAAAAAGAAAGTTCCCCAGAATTCTGAGGTAAATGCCAAGAGCCCAATTATTATTTTTTTTAAATGCTGTGGAACAATCTCTCCAGTATATAAGAAATCCAACAGGGAGCATATAACAAGGCCAAAATAGACCAAGGAGCACTTTGACCTAGTCTTTTTTTGGCTGAATTGAGCATCTTATATGTATCTGAAGTAATTTCCTTCACTTTCTCTCCCCTTCTTCAGGCTTCAGGTGGCCAAGACACAATATCTGCTTGTGAAGCTCTAGTAACTCTAATCAAAAGCTGCATCTAGATGAAAGCTGAACTCATGAGTGGCACGGGGCAACTCAAGCATTGTAGCAGAGGTTGCATGGATGGCTTGAGTGGATGCACATGGCACAATTAAGTGCAGGCATGCCAGGGCTGGAATATCATTCTGTGTAATGTATGTGAATTTGAAAATTGTTGCTTTTCCTTTCTCTTGATGTCCCCTTTTTGTAACCTCACTTGGTTTTATTTTCTTCTACCATGTATAGTCATATTTTTGTATATACACTATGCTCTCAAAGTGCATTTTCTTTTCCTCTCCTGTTTTCCCTTTTGTTCGTCACTGCTTTGTAAACAATTCATTCCCTTCTCAATCTTGCTGGCAATGTATGTGAGTCAGTGTCATTTTTCAACTCTCAGGCGCCAGCACAGTGATTTCTTGCTGCATCACCTCTTCGTGCTGCTTGATCTGCTGCCTTTTGTTCCAGATGTGAGACTTGCCTGCTAAGGAGAGCTTCCTCCTTTCCCTAAAACTCCATGTCTAAGGAAAGTAAGGGCTTATTCACATCAGTAATGGCAGAGACACTCAACCTCTTCTCGTTCTGCCAAGTTTTCTGAAATCTGGGATGGTGCAGTAGTTTTGATAGGATTTCTTTTGCTTTTATTTGTGTTGGTTTTGTTTTTTTTTTTTTTTTTTTGCAAAGAGGTGCATCTGGCCTTTAAAAATGATGTTCTATCTTTGAAATATTGTATCCTCTGGTTGTGTCATGAGCCCTGAAGGCTCCTTTCCTT